TCTAGTAGATAATATTTTTACAAATGTAATGGAAGAAAATATAAAAGTCGGGATATTGATAAATGATATAAGCGACCACTTACCAGTTTTTGTAACTTATGACTGTTGCTATAAAGTTCATAGAAATGTATGCAAGATGATATATAAAACAATTAGAACAGAAAAGGCAATGCAGTGTCTCAAAAATGAGTTAATAAAACAAGATTGGACTATTGTATATAAACATAAGGATGTCAATAAATCCTATGAGGCATTCTGAAGTATATTCATGGCCTTATTAGAGCAAAATAGCCTACTTATTGAAGTCAACAGGAAAGACAAGTATACAGGAAGACCATGGATGACGAAGGGACTGCAAAATGCCTGTCAAAAAAAGAACACCTTAAATAGAGAATTCATTAAAAAGAGAACTACAGAATCTGAAAAGAAATATAAAAAGTATAAAAATAAATTAACTAACATAATGAGAACTTGTAAAAAAGAATACTTCATCAAAAAGTTAGAAGATAATAAAGATAGCATGAAAGGGATATGGAATGTATTAAATAGTATAATAAAAATGCACCAAGGACTAATGACTACCCTGGGTATTTTATGGAAGGGACAAATACTATTAGTAAAATGAACGAAGTAGTCGATGGATTTAATGATTTCTTTGTACATATAGGGCCAAAACTAGCAGCGGAAATAAAGGTTGATATGATAGAAAGGGAGACTGGAGGAAACATTGAAAGGAATGCAAGTTCAATGTTTTTAAGAGCAGTGGAAGAGAAGGAGATATATGCTATTGTCAGTGGACTTAAGAACAAAACAAGTACTGACTTCCATGATATTGATAAGTTAACAGTAAAGAGAGTAATTGATGGTGTAACGTAATGAAGTTCATTATTTTCAGCTCCACACAGCTGCCCCTGTACACAGTAACACCCATGTAGAAAACGCCAAGGTCGGGTGTTCCTCAGACTGTTTACATTCCAGGAGAAGAGCCAGAAGGAGAAGAAGAACGCTTTTCAATAATCAAAGTACTTAATTTGTGATTAAAGCTATTAGAAACATATGTTGATCAATAATAATCAAGTGATGATCTGTGGAATAAAGATGTTGTGATTTATGTGTTTAATGAAAACAGGACTACTGCACAGACAGACTGACCCTCATCTCCATAGAAACGCATGACACATTGTTCCAACCAATCAGAGCTTTCGGCTGCCGCAAGAGAATCTGGCTTGTTGACTTAAAGTGTCCAATCCACTTTACTAAAACTTATCAACAATTCAGAGATATAAAACAAGGCAACGCCATTTTAAGCTCAGTTCCATTTTGACTTCAGTTCTAGTCACCGTCATCCCAAAGAGAAGCACAGCTTGCCAGATGTGTTTTCTTCTTTAAACTAAGAACTGTGAAGTTGGAGATTTTCGTCGTTTAACAACCAGACAACATCCTTTCAAAATAAGAGCACCTGCTGATGCTGCCGATGGTTACCTGGGTCGACCCTTCAGACGGGCTTTGAAACGCTGCGATCGCTTTTTCGACCAGCTCCAGCGCACAGCCGAGGTCTCCAGACCTGGCATTTCTTGATCTACCTGGGAGGCCCCCACTGGGTACGTACACGGCAAAATAGCAGCTCATGTCATCACTTTTCTAAGCCTCGTGATATCTAGTCATAACAAAGACTACCAGATTCAATGACGTCAGCCTAAGGAGTCTGAACCAACCACACACACACACACACGCACCAACACAACATCCAAATCCATTTTCATCCATCACAGAGTTAGTCCTGGTAGATTGTTAAGAATTTATAATTAAGAAATTAAAGATTCTTAAATGATCCCAACCCTCTCTCTTTTCTTGTCTCAAAGTCAATACAGAGTGTTTCATTAAACTCCCTGATGATAAAAACAGCCCATCTTCTGATTATAACAAGTGATCTACTTACAGTGTATTAAAATACAACTCTAGATAGTTACATCACTCTATTTCGTTACAATGGTATTGTAAAACCGCTACAATATATTTTTAATTTGTCTTTCCAGGAAGGGGTTTTTCCACAAAAAATGAAAGTAGCAAAAATTATCCCCATTTATAAATCAGGAGAAAAGCATTGTTTTACAAATTATAGACCAGTGTCGGTACTCTGCCAGTTTTCTAAGATACTGGAAAAACTATTTCTAAAAAGACTTGATAACTTTGTGGATAAACATGATCTGTTGGCAAATTGCCAGTATGGTTTTAGAAATAACAGATCAACAGTTTTGGCATTGATGGATTTAACGGAAGAAATAACTGAATGTATGGATAAAAAGAAGTATGCACTTGGAGTTTTTCTAGATCTAAAAAAAGCATTTGATACTGTTGACCACAAAATTTTAATAATCAAACTGGAGAAATATGGGTTTAGGGGTGTGGTATTGGATTGGATAAAAAGCTATGTGATGAATCGACAGCAATATGTACAAATAAATGAGTTTAAATCTAAATTGATGGATACTGAATGTGGAGTACCTCAAGGATCAGTATTGGGACCAAAATTGTTTATAATGTATATAAATGATATTTGTAAAGTATCGAAGATCCTAAAGTTTGTAATTTTTGCAGATGATACCAATATACTTTGTTCAAGTGGGGAATTTCAACAGGTTGTGGAGGTGATCACACAGGAGTTAAAGATATTAAAGACGTGGTTTGATAGAAACAAATTGTCCTTAAATTTAAATAAAACAAATTTTATGTTATTCGGAACCATAAGAAAAATATTAACATTGAAATTTGTGTTGATAATGTGTATCTAGAAAGGGTTAATACCATAAAAATTCTTGGTGTGATCATTGATCATAAGGCCTGTTGGAAATCACACATCACTTATGTGAGGGGAAAGTTAGCACGGGGCATTGCTGTCTTGGGGAAAGTAAAACATTTTCTGGATAGGAAAACATTATATATGTTATATTGTGCTTTCATATTACCATACATGAGTTATTGTGTAGAAGTTTGGGGAAACACATATAAAAGTAATATTCAGACCATAATCATAATGCAAAAAAGGGCTATTAGACTAATAAATCAGGAGGGGTATAGGGCTCACACAAACGCACTCTTTATTAAGACGCAAGCTTTAAAATTCCAGGACCTGGTCAAGTTTAAAACAGTGCAAATAATATATAAGGCAAGGAAAGGGATGCTCCCAATTGAAATAAGTAAATGGTTCTTAGAAAGAGAAGGGAGGTATAATTTTAGAGGGAAGTGGAATTTAAAAGTACAAAGAGTAAGAACAGCATTGAAAAGGATGTCTATCTCAATAGTGGGCATTAAATTCTGGAATGAGTTAACAGAAGAAATAAAGGACAGTAGTGATATAAACCAGTTTAAAATAAAACTCAAAAAAGAAATGTTAAATAAGTATAAGAATGAAGAAAATGCAATTAACTCAGGACGGCATGCAAACTGATGTTTAATCTCTTCTACAAATTAGAAAATCTAAATATAGTTCTAGTTGAACCTGAGAAATTTATTATTATTGTTTTTTTTGTTTTGTGTGTTTTTTTAAGGCATTGTAAATGTTTTGTTGTTTAAAATTTGATGATGAGGATGTAAACCTGAGGGGGTAGGGCTAAATAAGTATACACTTCTCCCTACTCCTTTTCAAACAACTGCATGGAATGATTTTATGAAATGTTGGTGAATGTATATGTTTGAAATAAAGTGAACTGAACTCAATTTAGTGAAAATCTTTACATAGCTTTTAAATGAGTTCACATATTCCTGAATGAGGGTCACATTCTGGAGGGATCACATCTGGATCTGTGTTTTCACCACGTGGCAGAGGGGTGTTTACAATTATGGCAAGCCGCTTTATAACATAACACAAAGACAAGCTTTTTAAAGCAAGTGTCGATATACACCAGGGGTGTCAAACTCATTTTAGCTCAGGGGCCACATTGAGGGAAATCTAGTCCCAAGTGGGCTGGACCAGTAAATAAAAAAAAAACTTCAGATTGTTTTCTTTGTTTTAATACAATCAATATAAAACAAGGCTGGAGCCTGAGGACAGTGTATCCAAAATAGTACAAGTACAACACTTGATGTGTACTTGAAAATTTAAAAAAAAAAAATCAACAAATAAAAAAAACATTCCTTAGTGATTCAAAGAGCTTACAGATCACATGGCAAGATCAGTTTCATGCAGCACTTAAAGTATATTTGACTCATTTTACTTAACATCTTTTAGCTTTTACCAGCACATCAACATCAGAAGTCACATCCTGAGTGGCGGCCAACTTCAGGATGTGATTCAAGTTCTTGTGTGGGCCTTGAGCGCAGCTTTGTTTTATTTATACTCATTACAGAGAAAACTTGCTCACAATGATAAGTTTATTTTCACTCTACATTGTAAAGTATGAAAATAAAGTTTACACAACCATCTCGCGGGCCGGATCCGGTCCACGGGCCGCATATTTGACACCCCTATACACCATCGATATACACACATTTCATTTTGGTCATAAACAGTCACGTTGTTGTCTATCTAGGGTTGCAACAGATATATTTGTCAATTATGATATAGTTGTCAATAACTGAAATTCACATTTAAGGCAATGAAAACAGTAAAAATGTAAAACGATCCCAGAAATGATACATTTTTAAATATTGAAGAAAAAAAAGTTATTTAGTAATCATATATTTTGTACTAAAACTAGAGCAGAAAATTTCAATAAAAACATTTTAAAAATATATTACGGCTATTTAAGACACACGTGGGCGCGCGCGCACACACACACACACACACGCCGTTTTAAGATAATTAAGATGTTTACTAGTTAAAACTCATATTTAAAATCTTACACAACTGGCCATAATCCTCTTCCGTACTCATACGTACCAGTAAAAATGAAGAAACAAGAATGTCGTTTGAATTTATGTAAAAATGGCCTGCCACACTGTGGTTTATTATACACTTTCTTGGAAAGCCCTAAAACCATCCTCCATGCTTGTGTCACTGCGGGCCAAGACGACTCGTGTAGGCTTTTTTTTTAAACCTAAAAATAACGACAGCCCCCTAAAACGCGTACATGGTAGACTGCACGTAGCTTCCAGGCCCATGCTTTTCCTAAATCCTGCCTCAAACCAGCTGATAGCCAACGGTACACCGAAACATCACAGATAGGAGGATCCACCCGAATATCCTCACCGTTAACTTCTTCACCAGAGGAGCTGGCCGCGGAGAAGTTACTGCAGCTACTGGACGCTCTGGGCGAGGTAAACACTTTCCTCCTAAAGCAAATAAGATAAAAGAAGCAAAACAAAACGAACGTGCTAGCTAATTTACACGGTTATCCTAGCTGTGGATGCTACTTTTGTGCTTTCTGGAAGCTTCTAAAACGAGATTTTTATGCGTAGAAGAAGAAATCTGCGTTTGTGACATTCCAGCGCAATGCTGCGTGGGATGCTGCAGCTCTTCATTGTTTCAGCTCATTTAACAAACTTTTAAATGCAGTACAGTTCATTTTTTATACTTTTAAAAATCACACAGTCCACGAGGAAACCCTTGAATTAGCCAGTTTCATCGCGGGGGAAAAAGGTTTACCGGAAACGCTTTTTGACCTAAAATGTTGCGTATTTTCCTTCACGGCTCTGGGCAGCGAGGTTCCTGCGTGAGGAGGGGCGAGGACGTGGCAGTCCTCGTCCTCCAGCCTTCCCGGTGCACCTTTCCACTCCCAGAAAAACTTTAAGGACACATGTGGGAACACTGAAACAAACATAATAGGACAAATTCAATTTGAGTCACACACAAAAAAAAACGTTCATGCTAATAAATGAAATAATTTCTTCTTTATTATTTTAACGTATTTCCAAAACCAGGAGTTATTTGTTTTCAAATAGGATTTTTACTAGACATTTTGTCTTTAGTAGTTTTTTTCTTTTGTTTATAACATATTAACATAGCTTATGTTGTTTTTCCTTCCAGCTTATTAAAAAGCTTGTTCACACCTTTATCCTCTAGTAATCTCTGGAGCCATCAGAGGTTGACCTTATTAGGCATCCAGTACGAGTTACTTTTGTCTCTGCACCACTGGTTATAGAAAAATAAATAAATCAGCAAGCAATGCTTCATATTAAACTCCAGATACTAGTTATAAATCAATGATCAGTAATGGTTCAAATCAAATAGCTGTTATTTTTTGTGTCATATAATTAAAAGTCAAAACTGAAAGGCTTCTGTGGGAGAGGAGGGACTTTTCACGACTTTTAAATGTGTAAAAACTGAGACTGTCATTTCTTGTAATGTGTTTTCTGTCTCAGCCACATACTGCTGCTGCCCTGAATTGAAACTCATACGAATTCCTTCTTTTCCACTGACAGATTGCTTTTGTGGCATAGGCAGAACTTGTCTGAACCTGTGGTCTGCTTTTGCTTTCATTTTAGTGCCTTCACAAAACTGCACAGATGAATGTTGTAAAGCAGCTTTATCGTGCAGTTATGGTCCAATCTTTTCACTTGTGGTTCAAGTAAATCCATCCAAGTGCGCTATTTACAGAAGTGGTGTGGTGTTTAGTTCTGCTTCCTCCTGGCCTGCAGATCGAATCACAGCTATGCAGACTAGTCTGTGAAGAGGTTTGCACCCTGTACCTGGATGAGTTTTCTTTTTGTTTGTTTCTACAACCCAAACATTGGGTTTTGCATCATTGCATGAATGTACAAATTACCTGCAGCGTGTGGGTGCGAAGGCAGTTTCTGATGCACCAGTGGACATTTTCATTGTAGGTTTGTGTTGCCTGCAGCTACCAAGTTTTACTTTTACCAACATTTTTAATACATTTCGCAATCAGACATACATTGTCATTTTATTCTAATTACACAAAGCATTAAAGCAAAGTAAATGTTCTTGTTTTCAATTATATTTTGTATTCATTTAAATATTGGTTGATTTCAAACAATTGCTGCAGATGAAAACAAAGTTGGACTCAATAGAAACTTTATTTAGTTCCTGGAGGAGAAATAATCCCATTGTACTGCAAATGATTGTTACAGGAAATAAGAACAGGATGCCAAATGTAATAAATAATGTGAAATATAAAATTGCAAACTGATTCAAAAGTACATTTAAAAGCTTTTCCGTAAATAATTTGCATCTAATCTCAATACTGTTAGCAGAAATTGCAGCTAGCTGTTTTTATTTGAACATTTTTTTCCTGCTGAAGAATATACTAGTCACTAAACACTAGGGATGCACCGATGGATCGGCATTTGATCCCAATCGGCCGATAGCGCCCCTATCGGTTTTGATCGGAGTTTAGATCAAAGCAGACCGAGACCATTTTAGATTAGGTTACATTTCCTTTATTCCCAGATTATGTAGTTTGTTGCACTCATTATAATGTTGTAGAAAATTTCTGGCCAATCCACGTGATCGGTATCGGTGATCAGCATTCTTTGATATCGGTATCGGTGATCGGCAGCAACAAACCTGATCGGTGCATCCCTACTAAACACAGGAGACGATTCTTGAGGACAGAAAATAGTTTTATTTTGTTAAGGATGTGTGTTAAGGTTTGATTAGCCTCTCTGTTGTGCAACTTCATGCTAAAACTTGGTTTGTTCTACAGGTGGGATTAGAAAAAATTTGCAAAAACAGGTCAACTCTAATTACTTTCTCTCCCTTTCTCCTTTCCAGAATGGAGCCAACGCTAACATGTCGGTGTATATTGCTGCTGAGCTGCATGCAGCTGCTATCAGCTCACAATGACTTCTTCACCTCTATAGGTAAAACCAAACGTATGCTTTAAATCTATGGGAGAAATTCAGTCTCACTGGAATATGACCTTTGTTTATTTTTTTGGACATTGACATTTGGTTCTGTGAAATTATATATTTAAGTTTTTTTTTTAACTTGAAATACATCAGCAAAAATGTTATCCATAATAATTCAACTGAAGATTTTCAATTTAAAGATTTTATCAGCAAAAATTCCTAAATAACTGAGGTGATCTCCTGGCAGCCCAAGCCAAAGCAGTCATCACTCGATCAAGTCGACACCTCACTGGTGGCTAGAGTCACTCGGCTTGACCAGTTGGCGATTAATTTGTCTTGGGTCACCAGGGGGTCACCTAAGTTGTTGGACTATTGCTGTTGAATTTTTTACATTGAAATTCTGCGTTGGAAATTTTACGGATAAAATTGTTCAATTCAATTCAAAAATACTTTATTAATCCCAGAGGGAAATTGATGGTGTATTTTAAAGATATGAAACCATTTTTAAAACCTTATTTCTGATTGTAATCGTCACTTAGTTTTTCATGCAGGCTGAAGTTGAAAATAGCCTCCTACACCTATCTCCTGCATTAGCTTCTGATAGAAAACAGACGGTGAAACTCTAGGATTTGAAAATCCTCACAGATCTACGTCACACTGTTACTTAACATTCATGGACTCACACATCGTGATTCACCATGGGGAAAGCTGTTATTGGTTTAGTGTTCAGGAAACGGCAGAGAATGTCTCAATTAGTAAAGCTAACCGTTAGCATTAGCAATTCCACCACACAGAAAAACTCCTCCAGGCTTGTGTTATTTGCGGATATAAAACATCAATATTGGAGAGCAAATGAAGTCAGTTGTAGTTAGCCACTGTGGTAATTAGTGCTGTTAGCCAATCTGAGGCAAGATGTCCCAATATCAGGAAATAGGCTCCAAATGCTGCCGTGTTGTGCCACTCTTTAATAGCAGACTAGTCAGGGCTGATCCATGCATTTCTGGGCGTTTTCTGCCCCTAGTACAGGCATTCATTTCTACCAGAAACCACTGCAAATGTATTGATTAAACAAGTGAACCACACCTTTAAGTTAAAAAAAAATCAATTACTGTTTCATATAATAAAAATTCAATGTCTATGAAGTCATATTCTGTTGAGACTGTATTTCTTCCATATAAAACTGACTTCCCTCATCTTTTATTGTGGTCTTGTCTTTTAAATGGATTTGATTTGTTGTCCCCAGGCCAGATGACGGATCTGTTGTACACCGAAAAGGACCTTGTCACGTCATTGAAGGATTACATCAGAGCAGAGGAGAGCAAACTGGAGCGGGTCAAATGGTATGGAAACGGTTTGGAGCCTGTTTTACAATGAAACATGCTTATCTGTTATATCTTTTACTTGTAGCTTCTTAAACCCTCATAATTTTTGTCACAGGTGGGCTGATAAGTTGGATTCCTTGTCAGCAGTAGCCACACAGGACCCTGAAGGTTTCCTGGGCCACCCTGTTAACGCCTTCAAACTGATGAAGAGGCTGAACACAGAGTGGGCAGACTTGGAGAGTCTTGTACTTAGTGACACAACTGATGGTAATTAAAAAAATAAAGATTAGATTTTGGCTTTTTCTAATTGTAGTTTAACTCACTGTCTGAATTTTCACAACTATGTTTCTCACAGTGAAAGTATCACCTATGTGTAATTCTTGCAGGATTTATTTCCAACCTGACCATCCAGAGGCAGCATTTCCCTACAGAGGAGGATCAAACTGGGGCTGCTAAAGCTCTCCTTAGATTACAAGACACTTACAAACTGGATGCCAACACCATCTCTACGGGAAACCTGCCAGGTAAAGCTTTCCTTTTAGGTGTGAAACACACACCCCATGGAGAAATTACATGGTATAGATTATTCTAATCTGATTTATTTGTTCGTGTCCTGCATTTCTGCCTTCTAGGAGTGAAACACAAGAGCCAGATGACGGTGGAGGACTGTTACGAGCTGGGTAAAATTGCCTACTCGGATGTGGATTATTATCACACTGAGCTGTGGATGGCCCAAGCCCTGAAACAGCTCGATGAGGGGGAGGAGTCCACCATAGATAAGGTGACAGTGCTGGACTACCTGAGTTATGCCATCTACCAGCAAGGGGAGATGGAGCGCGCTCTGGAGTACACCAAGAGGCTGCTGGAACTGGGTGAGCTTTTGGTTGACTAAAATGATTTAGCTAAATATGTCGCCAATGACCGGACTGGGTTGGATGAACTTCTTTGAGAGTAATCTTTAGATTCATATCTTTAAGTTAGCTTTTGTCGTCAGCCTGCTTCAAGATGGTCATGACAGCTAATTAACAATAAAGTAAATGTTACAAATATTGATCTTTCTTTTTTAGACCCAGAGCATCAGCGTGCCAAAGGCAACGTGAAGTACTTTGAATTCCAACTGGAGAAGCAGAGAAAAGCAGAAGAAGAAGAAAGTAAAAAACAACCAGAAAGACCGAAAAGGGAAACGCCAGAGAAGAGGAAAAAAAAGACTAAAAAGTCTTTTTCTTTGGTCCCGGAGAAGAAGAAGTATGAAATGCTTTGCCGTGGGGAGGGTATCAAATTGGTGAGAATTAAAAAAATAAAATAAAATAAAAAATCTCACATCTAAACGACAGCTCAAATGAACTCTCTCTTCTTCTCTTCTTATCAGACACCAGCCAGACAGAGCAGGCTGTTCTGTCGTTACTATGACAACAATCGCAACCCCATGTATGTGCTGGCACCTGTGAAACTGCAAGATGAGTGGGATCGCCCTCATATTGTTCGCTACCTGGACATCATCTCAGACGTGGAAATTGAGAAGATAAAACAGCTGGCCAAACCCAGAGTAAGTCTCTATTTCCACAAAGATCTGTATGCAGAGCTTTGGGAAGTTTCCACAAGAAGTATAATTTTTTTCTGGACACTGCATGCGGATTGTCACGAGCGTAAAGAAATTACATGAGTGTTACTCCATTTTTCCTTGGCAGAGCTGAGTCGTAACAATTTAGTGGGGGCTTGTCCGGGATCTTCCAAGGTTTTACAAAACAGGGTTATGGTCGTTCTGCTGTTGCTCGATCATTTTGCCCCAGAGACTGAGTTTGCGCCATATTAACTGCCCCAGTACAGAGCTGTCTGCAGTTTTCAGGTCCGGATGCAACAATGAGGCAGGAAGTGAGATGTGTTTATGCGAGATGCATCTGGTATATTTCAAAATAAAACCCTTGTTGCACGTTATTTTACTTTTTTTAAATGACAGGGATGTCATTTCGCAGTGTACGATAGATCACATTACTCTATCTTTAAACATATTATGTCAAATTTCTGCTTATATTAGTGTTTATGTATTTAGCAGATGCTTTTGTCCAAAGCGATTTACAGGCAATAATCAAGTCAGCAGGTTGCCCTTTAGGCTAACAACAAACACTATTCAGTCAATCCTAGGTGGAGTGAGGCAGCATAATCAATTATAGAGGGAAGCGAACATGGAGTGTGCAGTAGAGGGGGGACGGGTGCTGGGAGGATTCTAGTTTAGAAGATGCTCTCTGAAGAGCTGGGTCTTCAGGAATTTCTGGAAAATCAACAAGGAAGCCTCTGTTCTAGGAGCGCTTGGTAGATCATTCCACATTTGTGGAACGACACATGAGAAGAGTCTGGATTGTCCTGAGCGTGGTGTAGGCACTGCTAGCCGACGATTCTCCAATGACCGGAGCAGCTGGGCCGTGACGTAAGCCTTTGCAAGAGGATTCAAGTAAATGGGAGCCGTACCATCCAGGACTTTGTATGCTAGTGCTAGTGATTTGAATTTGAGATGTGCAGCTAGCGGTAGCCAACGAAGCTCAATGAACAGAGGGGTGACGTGCTCTTTTAGGCTGCTTATTTGTTGCTTTTGCGGGATCAAATTTCCTGAGACATTTTGCACACAATCTGCAGTGGATGTAAATGGCAGTCAGTCCAGAAAACACACGGAAGCCGGACTGCATCCATTCTGTAGCCGATGTATGTGGGTGGTTTAGCACAATGAGGAGTGAGAGGTCAAAGCTGTGTGGCTGGCTGAAGGTTAGGGCAATCACACACACACACACACACACGCACGCACGCACGCACACACACACAGGTGTGTGTGGGGGGTAAATCATTTTCCTGACTTCACAGCTACGCAGGGCAACCATCTCCAACCCCATCACTGGAGTTCTGGAAACAGCTTCGTACAGGATCAGCAAAAGGTAAGGAGGAGGCAGAAGAGCAGTGTGGGAGAAAGTGGGATTGTTTTTCCTCTCCTCATAATAACTCCTCTGCGCTCCTCTCAAGTGCTCCATCTCTCCACCCCTCCACAGCTTAAAGACTCTTGAGCTGAAAGAACCAAATTATACATCTTATCTGTAGACTGGTTTTCTGCTGTGGTAAAAATTTGGTATTGGGTTATTATTTTTTTATGGAAATGTTTCTGCTCAGGAGTCTGATAAAGAAAGGTAACCAAGGAAGATGGAGGAGGGGAAAGTGTGGTGCTTCTGCTAGTTAGTATTGACCCTTTGCACCGACGTCACCTAATCACGTGGGTCCACAATGCTGGACGGCAAAAGCATGTAAATAGTGAGCGACACGAGTACTAAACAAAGGGAAAAGTAGAGCCTGAAATTGTTTTTGCGATCAAAACAAACTCCTCCAGCATTCCTTCAACTAGTTCATGCCCAGTTCAGTTATCAGAAGAAGTAGCGCATCTAGCCGGGGCTCATAGAGAGAGGTATGTTAACTAGCTTACCAACGTTAGCTTACGTTCTCTCTGCAGCTGTTCACCGATGTAAACATGTTGCTAACTTTGCCTAAATTCACTGGCTGAAGAAGTCACTTCTGATAACTGAACTGTCTTCCTCGTGAAATAAATTAACGTTAATCTTACCCGGTAAAAAAATGTTTGCTGCAAATCTGAGGCTTGCTAGTCCGCTTGATTGATCGCTGCAGTTCATCTCCATCCTCAGTCTCCATCAAAGTTATTAAAAATACAAAACGAGTTGAGTTTACATCCTTGTCTGTTAGTGCAGCCAACGAAGCAGCAAGCTAAAACCATTTTACTGTCAAATCAACTAAATAAAAGCGATAAAAGGCTACAAACTGGCTGGTTTTGACTAGCTTCACTCGAGTTTCAATGGGTGTAACCAACCTTTTTGCCATCCATCATGGCGAAGGGGGCGGTCACATGAGTGGCGTGACGTCACGTGCAAAGGGTCAATAAACACAGCTGCCTTCAGACTGGGGCGTGTCTGAGTAAAATAAAAAAGCCTCGTGGAGAACTGTTTTCAGAGGACTATTATTTACAACCAATTTGCTTTTCTTTTCTCTCCTTTGTCTCCACCTCTCATCTCCGTGTCACCTGTTTCTTTTTTTCTGTATTCTGTTGCTCTTCCTCTATGTCCTTGTGCCGATGGGATTACTGTAGTTGAGGAGAGCCACGGTGCATGACCCCCAAACAGGGAAACTTACCACAGCCCAGTACAGAGTCTCCAAGAGGTAAGGGGTCACAGGTCACCAGGAAGGTGCTTTTGGCTTCTACTAATCCTCACCAAGTACCATTTTAATTGCTGCCGACTGACTGGATCACTTGTTTGGCTTTGTGCTGAGAAAACATCATTTAAAAGGAAAATAATAACAATTTTGATTCACTTGGAAAACCAACAATATAAAATTTTTTATTCCTAATTGATGCAAGACAATTTGAACTTGCGTTGCACGGTAATTTGACCATTAAAACTATTGTGTGCAGAATTTAGATTTCAAAATCAATAAAAGCAACACTTAAGTTTCCAGTTACTTCCTCCTGTTGGTTGAAAACAGAATTACATCTGTTGTAAACAACCCTGTCACAGTATGCTGTAGCTAGCGCTAACAACGAGCTAACACTAAAATGAGCCAACTGATACTAAATAAGCCACGAAGTAAAAAGATCCACACTACTGGATTAAAAAAATATATTATTACGTACAAGTTTAGTAGCAACAACATCAGGTCACAATCAGTCTAAGTTCGTAGCTTCCATTAGCTTCCTCAAACAAGTGTAGGCCATGCCGATGTTCACTCTGGTTTGAGCTCTTTGCTTTCGTCTCCAAATACTCTCTAACTTTTACTTCCAGGCTCCACCATGATGCCTGAAAAAAGCAAACTTCTTGTTGCTTTATTGATGGATGGCGAGCTGTGAAGCTAACTGCTAGCCTTTATATAAGCTATTGACACAGTAAACAACTATTGCTATAAAGCAGATAAAATCCCTGACTAGTAGGGCTGGGTAATAAATCGAAAATGTATCGTTATCAAAATTTCTGACTCTTATTGAGGCAATTTTTCCCATGTCAATAAATTTGATGATGAAGAAATCAAAAGATGTGTGTAGTTTGACAGCGTTCATATCCCCTTAAGAAGCTGTACCACCTTGAGTCGCATAAAAATGTGACTCAACTAATACACGTGGCAGCCCCATCTAGTGGACAACATTTGTTTCTGCGCATACCTGTAGTTATCGTCCATTTATCGTTATTGAGGTGAAATCCTCAATATATTGTGCTATTGATTTTAGGCCATATCGCCCAGCCCTACTGACCAGTGATCTTATCTGACTCACAACACTATTAAGTGCAGTTTCTGGTCAGCAGAGGCCTACAGAGGGCTGTTCAATGTGAAATTGCTCAAGGTTACGTTTCAAGAACCACTGAAAGCAGTTTAAAAGCAATAGCTTAAAGAGGTCATTCATTCAGTCATATTTTTAATACACTTTCATTGGTCCCTAATAGGAATGAATCCCTTGTAAGTCGTTTTCTAGGGAAAAAAGCTCTGGTGCACCTGTTTTAGCACAGAGTCTCTTCACACGACAAAATTTGGAGTCCTATTTCCTGATATTTGGACATCCCTCCGCTTATTGGCTAACACTAACGTGACTCTACCACTGACTGTTTGCAATGTACATGTTTTATCACCACGAATAACACAAACCTGAAGGAGTTCTGCTGTGTGGTGAAGTTGCTAATGCTAACGTTAGCTTTTACTACTCGAGACGTTGACCAAACAACAGCCTTCCCCGTCACAAGTCAGGATGGGTGAGTCCATAAATATTAAGTGACATTGTGACGTAGATCTTTCAGGTTATTTCAGTTCTAGTTTCACCATCTATTTTCTATCAGAGGCTAATGCAGGAGATAGGTGTAGGAGACTATTTTAATGTTCAGCCTGCATGAAACACTCAGAGCGACCGATTATAATAAAAATAATAACTTAAAGATGGTTTCTCAGTGAAGGACCATATGTTAAAAACTATTTTTTGTTGTTTTAAGTAATTCCTAATAATATTTTCTCCTGTTACCCTAAATAATCGCAACTGCTTCAGATGATGCTAAAGTACACAAAGTATTTTGGGTTTATTGCACAAACAGAAACTGAACAACTGCATGCTTCACTAATATTGTGCAGTTGAGTCTAAATATAAATTGACAAAGAATTTTTTTGTTGGTGAGAAATTAAAATTGGTGAGGAAAATTGATATTTTTATGGAACAACCAGCTCTTTGCAAATGTTTTATAATTTATTTATAAACTTCAAATGCATTTTTTTCCTTTTTATTAAGCACACAAAGTTCTAACCTACTTGGGGCTCACTGTTAAATTTGAACTTCCTGCTAAAAATAGCTAGCTCAGCAGCCCACTTCCCCCCCAACATCGCCTTGGTTTTTCTGCCCTGGGTAATTAATGTGGATGTTGGCGTAAAGGCGTGGCATCCTTTGATGCTTCTGCATGCTTACATGCTAGGCAGCATGTCTTTTCCAGCTCGGTGAGCATTAGTGCCAGAGCGAGACAGATGGAAGACCTCTGTGAGCTGGCTCTGAGTTGAGAGACTAGAGAATCCTCTGGCTCATATCTGAAGGAAAGAGAAGTCAGCGGCACATTGGAATGGAACAAAATGTGACTCATCTTCCTTTCTTCTTTCAAAAACACAGACACTTTTGGGCTGCAGAGATTTGGCTTTTTTTCTAACTTTTCCTAAATATGTGGGGTTTTCAGTGCTTCAAATAAAGGAATGACCAACTTGTGTGGGTTTATGAGCTGTATGCTATTCTGGGGTGTGTAAGTAATAATGAAAGACAACCAAACTATGAAATTCAGGAATGTATTATGTTCCTCAGTTGAACAACTCCACCATCCTGTACCCTGAGCTGATTGGAGATTCTGAACTTAACTCGGGCCCTTTGCGAGTTTTATTACTTTCGTCCCACATTTCTCTCACTTTTCTGTCATTTAACTTAAGAAAATAAACTTTACTTCCCTTTTTTTTTTGCAGTTTTTGATGGCATGTCACCAGCATGCTGCATGATTTTCTTGCCTTTTATGAAACATCTCTACTACCACCTAGTGGTTGTGTGTGTTTACTACCACACTACATAAACGATTTGCACTTCTCACTAGCTCCTTTTTCTTCTATTTAATGTCAGCGCTTGGCTCACGGCTTATGAAGATCCAATGATTGAAAAGATCAACCAGAGGATTGAGGATCTCACAGGTCTGGAAATGGACACAGCCGAGGAGCTGCAGGTAAAACACCCAGAAGCTCCAGATCTGAATCCTGTCCCGTCCTGAATGCAGACACTTTATTTGTCTGTGACCTTGTAGGTGGCGAATTATGGTGTTGGAGGACAGTACGAGCCCCACTTTGACTTTGGAAGGGTACGCCTCTCATAACTTAATTTCTTAGAATCAACGGTGACATTTAAACGACGGGTCACCTGAGCTGCTGGTGCTTGTTTCTGCAGAAAGACGAGCCGGATGCCTTTAAAGAACTGGGCACCGGGAATCGCATAGCAACCTGGCTCTTCTATGTGAGTAAACACAACTCAAAAAGTATAGAAGTTTTTTTTACGCCCTTTTTTGGTCATTAAGCTATGTGAGTTCCTGAAACATTTGATGAAAGAAAACAGACATTATATTTAATTTCTTTTTCAGTTTATGATTACAACTTGTCCTTATTTTAGAACGTAGAGTGTTGCATGGCAGATAACACTGAGTTTGCTGTTGTAGATGAGTGATGTGACTGCAGGTGGAGCCACAGTTTTCCCAGATGTAGGGGCAGCAGTTTGGCCTCAGAAGGTAACCATTAACATTCATCCGTACCTAGCTTTGGATGCTTAATATTTAATTCTCAAATTTGACATTATCTTTAATTACTTTTGTGTCATTCACACCAACCATACACTAAAATTATTAGGGGTGTGCAATCGTAGGTACCTCACGATTCAATTTGATTTCGATTCATGGTCCTTCGATTCGATTATTAAACAGTTGTTACGATTACCACGGTTACCACTATTTTTGATGCATTTTGTCACTATTAAGTTTACAACTTTTTGATACTTTCAAATGAATTCTGCACACTTCAAGTTACCCCCCATATTATTCATGCAAGACTGAACAAATACCCTACATAAAGGTTTGCATGAAATCTGTAGGATAAACGTGAATGATGAACATGAAATTAAACACGCCAGTTTCTCATTTTCAAACTGAATCAGCTGAGAGTCTGCAATCTAACGACGCAGAGATGCAGAGCTTCTGGTCTTTACATCACCTGACAGTTTATGTGGGACTGTGAAGAACAAACACCTTTTGGAGCAGCTTGTGAAAAAACTTAAGGAGTGTTGCTTCAATTGGCAAAAAAGGCAAGTTACGTTCAAGCTAATTGGAATTTCGTGGCGGCGCAGAGACGGCCCCCTACACATTTTATCCCACAATCACTCTGTGAAAACATGATCACGCCTCAGACTCACCACTAATAAATGACCGAAGGCTCCCCAGTGTTTTTGTTCCCTGGAGCTTTTGACAATTAAAATTGTGCCCACATTTTCTAAGTTAAATACATCATCTCTTTTAACAACGGTAGTTTCTACTTCAGCCCTCTCCCCCCTCCCCCTGCGCAGCGGCCGCAAACTCCCTGATGCGCCTGCAGCCTCTCGGAGTTCCTGCTGCTCTAAACATTAAAATAATTATTTCATTTTCTGTTCCTCACTTCTGATTACCTTCAATGGTGTCTGTTTGTTGCAACCACCAGGTACAAAAACTAACTTGTTTTTATTTGACTATTTTTCTGTCCTGTCTGTTTATTATCTTCCTGCATCTCCTCTCAATCCTAAAGAGAAACTGCTACCTGGGTTCATATATATTCACCTTATGAGTTACCTTTGAACTGCAGTTCTAAAAGATCTACCGACCGCAGAAACAGCGGAGTGCATGCTGCGCGCCGGCCGCACCAGTGAGGTGGTCACCGGAGGGCAAAACAGGTGATGTGCTCCGCTCCACAGCAGCGAAACACATCAGGCACAAATAAAAGACGAACATAAAAGGAAATGAGCTGACATGAACGACCGTGTGTTAAATTATTTTTTGAGGTGGCGACACCTGATTTGATAATGTTACTGTGGCCGTGCTCAGGACGTAGATGTCTGGAGCGCGTCAACAATCAGAGCTTTGCATGTGCAAGCTGGTTAAGGTTAGGATGGGGGTGAGGGGAATGTTAAATTGCAAGAGGGTAAAGGTCACAATTCGGTCAAATGTCCGTTTTACGGCGGGCGTCAGATACCGACGCTCTGGCACAGCGCGTTGCCTCCCAACGCGCAGGGGCTGTCTTTTCCGAGGACTGCATCTTGTCGGTCATTATCACGTGACAGCGACTAGTCGATGAAAGGCATAAAAAGTCACTACAGAGCAGTGAAGTCGACTAGTTGATACAACCCCTACCGGGTGGTACACATACCTTTCATGTTTCTGCCACACTTTGCGGCTGTTTTTCGACATTTATTTATAATTGTTTATTAATCGATTTTGAGTTGACATGTGATGCATCGATTGAATGGTGAATTGGCACACCCCTACTAATTATGCTTGTTTATGTTCATATTTTAGCCTCTGGTTCTGTTTTTATTTGTCAGACATAACTGGGGAGAAACACGGCAGGGTAAGACGGACTCCCACAGGTTTGTTTATTCTCCTCTGTTGTTTATTTCAGGGCTCGGCTGTGTTCTGGTACAATCTGTTTGCCAGCGGGGAAGGAGACTATAGCACGCGGCATGCAGCCTGTCCTGTGCTGGTGGGCAACAAGTGGGGTGAGTTCCTCTTTGTCTGTAAGATTTGCTTTCTCTTTGCTGATGATGGAGGATTTTATCGCAGCATTCCGTACTCACCACAACAATGACCTGATTCTGTTTTTTCCCCTCTGTTTTTAGTTTCAAACAAGTGGATCCACGAACGAGGCCAGGAGTGGCGGCGACCCTGTGGTCTGAATGAAACAGAATGACTTTTTTTAAAGCCCCCAAAACAACACAACCTTCCTAATGAAATCTCTTTCTCACACTTTTTTATTTCTTGATCATTGAGGATCAAAAGAACGCTGCTGCAGATCACAGATGACAACCCCCATGTCTTTCTGCAAACACTCCTTTTTCTCCCCCCACCTGCTAGATTTGGATCCCAGGGATTGTTTTGGCTAACACCGGGCTCCTGGCCAGCATCACCATGATGGATAACGTGTTCTTAAAGTTGTCGAATGGTTTCGAGAAACAATTGAGCTGCGTTCACTTCCACGAGTTTTACTTTGCACGCTGAATGAACCTCCAGCTTCAGTTGTGATTGCAGGGACCACCCCCTTTAAGATATACCATAAGGGGATATTTTACATTTTTAAAGAGGTATGCCTGATTAAGTATCATTTCATGCAAAAGAAGATCAATTTTCCCTTTTATTTTTTAAAGAAAATGAAATAAACAGTGAAAACTCACCACAGGGCATATTTAATGCTCTTCAGCAGCTATTTTGTTAATTATTTGTCTTCCAAACTGATTGTCCGCTGGATTTTCTTTATTTCACATATGTAGGTGGATTTTGCCTTCCCCCATTTAGAATTAAAACCCAGAGATGGTGCCTTGTGGCAGTAAGGGGGGGGTCACACTCCAAAGAGCTGGAAAATCCGACCACACACTGAGGGCTGGTTGTGTTTTGAATGACAAGAATCCTTAAGTTACACAACAGGCGGTGAATATTAAAGCCTATGCAGCACCATTTCCACACACTGTATTGTGTTGATTTCATTTTTCAGTCTGTGTTCAAACTTTATCCTTTTTTTAAAAAAAAAACGGTGTCAAAGTTTGCTTGGCATTTATTTATGTGTCCCAAGAAAGTTGATGTGGCGTTATTGTTGTTATACTCAATAAACATTACTGGATGTTTGACAGATTTGTGTTGCTGCTTGTTTGTGGTGGTGGTGGGGATGAGAGGGGTGGTGGGTTTGGGGGAAGGTATGAAGGCACCATGTGACCGTCCTGGACTGTTCATCCAGCTATTCGCTCATCGGGACAGACACGTAGTCGGGCTAGGCGTCTGTCAGGTTGGGAGGAGAGAGTCAGGAAACTTACCCCCCATCAGAGTTTAAACTGAAGTTTTAAAGGATAGCGCGATTTTAGAGCTTCGAGGGAAGAGAAAGAAGCAAAAATGATGACCCAGATGGAAACGACGGTGCACTATGATAACGGCTACGAGGAGGAAGAATACATGATGCAGGAGGACGAGTGGGACAGGGACATGCTGCTGGACCCTGCCTGGGAGCAACAGCAGAGGAAAGTATGTCCCTTTGTTTAGTCAGTCTCACAGGAACTAACTTCGCTCTTATTTAATACATGCCAATGAAAACATCGATATTGTTGTTTTGAGATTAATTTAAACAGGTAAGTTATTTTTTACAAAAATGCAAAGTTCATAAATCGAGCCGCATAATTTAACGCGCAAATGGTGAAGCTGAAGTTTATTTGTACGTAATTAGGATAACTTCCGGTTTGTAGCTTTTCAAAAGAAAAAACGCGCCATGAACGATTTGGCTATATATATATATATATATATATATATATATATATATATATATATATACTCTTCATTTGGAGTTTTATATATGGTATGTGCGTAGAAGGTTTTCCAACTTTCAAGTATGGTCTTTGTCCATTGTAAGTGTAGGGAAATTACTCAACAGTTATCTGATCAAGGTGAGTAAATGCCACAACAAGGACACATGGATAAAGTAATACAATTAATTATAAAACAATAAATGTGCCTAAACAGATCTAAAAGAGAGGTTTGTGTTGTATACAAATTAAACATAAATACAGCAAAGCGAGAATTCCCAAGTAAGACAACTGTTGTAATAGGGTCTATTTTACAATAGGAAGCGCACAGCCCAGAGTGATACATAAGGGGGGTCGGGTTGCCGGGCAACGATGGGGATGGGTACCTTTAACATTTGAATCGATCCGGTACTAATTCCCGGTACCTACGAATCGATACCGGTACTTAACGGTACCAATTTTCGATACTTTTGAGTGTTTATTATTTTAATTCTCTTTTATAATTAAATATATATTTTTCTCAATATATAACAATATTTGATATATATCACGATAAATAACATACAACTGTTTGTATTTTAACATCGTCCTTGTAGTTTTATAAGCTGATAATTAAACTGAAGCAAACATCTTTACTGTGAACTAAATTTACTGTGTATCTTCATTCCTTTTGCCGTCTTTTTTCATTTGATTTTTCCTACTGGGAAGTTAGAATTTCCGAAGAGAAAGCGAACGCACCATTAGCTGATAACAATGGTAGCAATGGAAGCTAACATACCAAGCTAACGTTTTCTTAAATAGTTTATTTAGCTGCTGGAGCAGATTAAAACAATGATGCCTCATACTTAGATCGTTGTCACTGGTTTCGTCTTCACCCAATCACCCGTCACATTTAGTAAAGTGAAGCCAAACTTTAGAGCACGTTCATGTTCTTCTAGTCGGGAATTCGGAGTTCCGAGGAGAAAGCGAACGCACCATTAGCGAAACGGAAGCTAACATATCAAGCTTATTATATTTACCTACCGGAGCAGATTAAGATGAGGATGTCTCACTTAGATCGTTGTCGCTGGTTTCATCATCACCCAGTTACCCATCACATTTAGTGAAAAGAACCCAAGCTTTAGCGTGCGTTCTTTCTACCATGCTGCTCTGTTTACAACTGGCTCTCAGCGACCGACAACATAACGCTCTTGCGCATGCGCAGCTGTCTTGGCAAGTTCTCGTTATGATGGACGTGTACCGAAACGAGGCACCGTTTGAAATGACGTGAATCGGTGCTCGGTCGGTACTATGGAATTCAGTCGGTACCTTTAAAAAGTACCGAATTCGGTACCCATCCCTAATTGGTCGCTGTTGTTTGTGTGTTGCTGGGGGGCTTTCCAGTATGTTCTAATGGGAAACAGGCTTCAACTCAAACGGTTGTTTTCTGCTTTGTCCTAGAGCTCAACCAGTGTCAATTTGATATTGCGTAATATTGTTTTTGGATGGTAAAAAGTGCAGGGGTCAAAACTTGACATTGGAAAAAGCGGGGGGATATGCCCCCCCCCCCAAATTACGTCCATGTGCCGGGACATAGGAGATCGGGGCTAAAGAGGCTAAATGCTACCGGGCTAACTGATGATGAAAAGAAGGTACCTGCCAATCTGTGGACGTTTTTTGAGGGACAACTAAAGCTGGACTTGAACTTCAGGATCTGCAGTCTTCACCTCATGCAATACAGACAAAGGTCAGATGAAAGTATTGATGATTTTGTAACAAGAGCAAGAACACTTGCATTGAAGTGCCAGTTCACTGAGAAAGAGCTGAACGAACGCCTGATTGAGCTAATAATAGCCAGCACACCACATGAAGCATTCAGAAATATGCTACCGTAAATCCTCTAATACAGGCCCGGGCCTGTATTTGACTCAAGCTCATCAAGCTCCAGGCCTTTATTGGAAGGAGGGCCAGTATTAGAGGCAGGCCTCTATTTCTATTTGAGCAAAATGAACTAATGGTTCGCTGGAGTTTTTGACAATTAAAATTGCGCCCACATTTTCAAAGTTAAACACATTTCTTTTAACAACGGTAGTTTCTGCTTCAGCCCTCTCCACCCTCCCCCTGCGCAGCGGCCGCAAACTCACTGATGCGCCTGCAGCCTCTCTGAGTTCCTGCTGCTCTAAACATTAAAATAATTATTTCATTTTCTGTTCCTCACTTCTGATGACCTTCAATGGTGTCTGTTTGTTGCAACCAGCAGGTACAAAAACTAACTTTTTATTTGACTATTTTTCTGTCCTGTGTTTATTATCTTCCTGCATCTCCTCTCAATCCTAAAGAAAAACTGCTGCCTGGGTTCATATATATTCACCTCATGAGTTACGTTTGAACTGCAGTTCTAAAAGATCTACCGACCGCAAAAACAGCGGAGCGCTTGCTGTTTGGCGGCTGTATCAGTGATCAGTGCATCGGAGGACAAGGTGATGCCCGCAGCGCCCCGCTCCACAGCATGCAGCGAAACGCATCAGGCGCAAATAAAAGACAGAAAACATTAAAGGAAATGAACTGACATGAACGATCGCGTGTCAGTACCTACGGTCTGGCACAGCGCGTTGCTGATCACAGAGAATGTGATCATACGATAATTCAATAGGGAGCGTGGTTTCACAGACGCGGAAGTGATAGCGTCGGTGAAACGCCGGCTGCTCTAGGAAACCCCCGAGCGTTCGAGCGTCAACGAAGTGACACGGAAATGCCGGGCTTTCCAGAAGTAAGTAAGATAACTTACTATGAGCTGATAGTTCGTTGGATTGATTGGTAGGTTGGAAACTCTGATCGTGAATCTGAAGAAACGATGACTGAGTGGTGAGCTGGAAAGGCGACTTCCGTTTATAGCCGCGGTTTGTGACGTAGGTGCGACGTGAAGGGAATCCCCGCGAGGGGCATGCTGGGAGTCCCTACTTCGCGGATTTTCACCTATCGCGGCCAGGTCTGGAACGCATCTACCGCGATAAACGAGGGATTACTGTAGTTCATACAACCCCTACTGCTGCTCTCCAGAGTGTTCTGCAGCATAATCAGCACGTTCTCTTTGAACTTGATAGTGTAATGACCTGGCTGGGGTTGTAAGCCAGGTGCATTCTGGGTATTGTGTTATATGTGTTTCCTATCGTTCCGCTAGTTCCTATGTGCTGATTTGCGTGTTGTGTGAGTGTTATGTAAGCCACAGAGAAGGTGATGTGTGTTCTGTGGAGCGGGTTGAATTAGCATGGTTAACTGACACCATGACTCTGTGTGGTAGGAGCGTGATAGAGGATCGTGTCTGTAGCGTTACAACAAATCAACTATAACCCTACCGCTGGGGACGCTCGTACTTGCTTGTTTCCACATTCCATCCGGCCACAATAAGAGACCGGCCATTATTTACCTCCGCTGACTTTGACACCGGCCAAAATTGGAGACCCGGCTTTTAATTGAATACCGGCCTGTATTAGAGGATTTACGGTATATGGGAAGCCCCAAGGTTGCTCTCTGGCCGAAACATTAACAGAGGGGAGGAGACACGAAGCCCTGACAGCAGAAAATATGCAAATACAACAACTTGGGCTGACACAAAACGAAAAGGTTGATGCTATAAATAAAAAACAGGAGCACATATGCCAGAAATACTGTAAAGAACACAAACCACGTCAATGTCCAGCATTCTATGATGAGCGTCGTGCCTGTGGAATGAAAGGACTCTGGGCAAAATGCTGCAGAAAAAACAAATACCAGAGAAACACCATAGCTAGCACCAATGGAGCAAGGCTCAACCGCATAGAGGCAAATATAAAGACCAGCATCAGCACCAACCACACAGAAACGACCACATTAAGGCAAAGAACCCCAACTTTGACACTATACGCACAAGTGAACTAGGAGAAGAGGAAATGTATCAAAACAGTTTTACTCAGTTACGATTAGTGAAAAGTGTCTGCACAGTGTTGAAACTAAACAGCCCAGGGAAGAAGCATACACAGTGCTAAATGTAAGACCACCGGGTTTGCCTGATAATGGACACACATTCTGTCTAAAGATTGACACGGGAGTAGGGCTGCAACAAACGATTATTTGGATAATCGATTAATCGGATGGGGTCTCGACACGATTAATCGGATCACATGGGGAAATTTTTTAAAACTGCTAGGGAAACGTTATTTCTCTCCTTCCTTCACTTTATTTAACACAACATTATTAGAAAACAGTTCAATAGCAGAAAAACAACATGCCATCACCTAAATTGTCTTATAAGGTGTATAGACAGAGACCCTAAGCTACATCTATCTGTGAGCTAAAATGCTTGGTCCAAGTTAAACAGCTTAAGGGCAATTCTCATCTGTTTTGTTTGATCTCATCTGTTAATATTTATTTTAAATGTAATTAAACATAGGCTGTGAATTAATCAAAATTGATCACTATTTCCAAAACTGACTGAAAAAATACCAAATAAAACAAAAGTAAATGAATGCCATCCTCCTTGCGATGATGCCCTGGGCAACTGCCATAAAGTCACATCAAGAAATGCTGCTGATCATTCCAATGATCCCAAATAGACTCACATTAGGCCACATGAAAGCAACTGAACCCAAAAATATATTAACCAGTATATAACTGCACTCTCACACAACACGCCTGCAGCAACAGTTAGGACTCCTCCCTCCCTTTTAAAAGCGTTTTTGCTTCTGAGGACATTGTGGTTGTAAAACC